TATAGTATGGTATAGTTTAGTATACTATAGTATGGTATAGTATAGTGGAGTAGAGTATAGTAGAGTATAGGGGCAGCTCGGAAGGAAACGGAGGTAAGCACATGCGCAGTTCTCTGAGTTAGGGTCTCTTTTGGGGATCCTTCTTAAGGGTGCGGTACTATTATTGGGGACCCGAAAAGGAACCCTAATTTAGAAAACTACGCACGTAATTAACAACGATGTCGTTATGTGCGGGTGAGCGACACTCTTGTCGTCGAACATAGGGTCGCAGAAGTGCGGTTGGCCTTCTTGCCACTCGGGCGCCTCCGTAAGCAAGCGGCACTTCAACTCTCTCTCTTCTCGCTTTTGCCTGATCTGCTTCGACATCGCGAGCCTTCACACACAAGTAGAAGACACCGCCGACGACCAAAGCCCTGCCAAGCAAAGGGAAATCTCGCATACATGTTGCCTTCATCTCCAACTCGATGAATTTCGAGGCAGCGTGAGCTTAGCTCGACACACAGTTGCCGGCCACCAGCCGGAGTACATCCTGTCCTTGGTCCACGGAGCATGGTCGCGGATGCCGGGTTTCGCAGAGATGGGTATCGCGGCCCTCGGGGATGCGCATTCACCGCATGCCCCATCCACTTAATCTTGGCGTGTTGGAAACGGGCGGTCAGCGCAGACCCCAACATCTGTTTTTCTGGTGGATAACCTTCTTTCCAGCGATGGGGGATCCTGAAGCATGGGCGGGTGGAGCTCGCCCAGGATGTCGGCGTTAGACGCCAAGCCCCTGGTTCACCCTCAGGCCCACTGTGCAGGGTTATGGCATACCCTTACAGCTGCAACGCAATCGAGGAGATTGCTTTGCAGAGGATCAGGTCCATCTCAGAGGCACGCATCACAAGGCGTGGGTCAGCGAATGTCCAGCTATGTCTGCCGAGTCTCAAAGGGAATGTCATTCCGCTCACCGGCCGCGTATCGCCGATAACGTTCCTGCACGGACCCACGGCTAGAAGTTACGAGCTTTCCTGCGATCGTGCCGGTGATTCCCAAGTCCTTGCGCGCTTCTCTTTCATCCGGAGTTTCCTGCAACTTGATACTGCCAAGAGAGGCTTGAAACCTTCAGGACAATGCTGTCCGCAGTCCTTCTCCCAATGCTCCGTCCACCTTTCTCTCTCGACCTGCATGGGGGGTCAGCAGGTTTACAATACGGCTCCCTGAAGCGGCACTCTCATGACATGACTCGCATACATTATATCATTATAATATGGATATATATAGAGAGAGCATATGTACATGTGCATATCCCTCTCTGTATATACACACTTGCATATATAAGTATGTATATATGTGCATGTGTATGTGTGTATATATACATAGATATATGCACAAAGGGGTGTGTACATGTGTATATATATATATACAGATTTATGCTTGTATTGCATAGTATGATATAGAAGAACCATAGACATAGCACAACATAACATCAGATAAAGTATTCTGTAATGTTTCATATTATAGTATAGTATGACATAAGACAATATAAACTGCATATAACTTTAAACTGACTTGCACGTCACAGACTATGGTACAATATAGTATAATAACATGTGGTGTGCCATAATATCATCCAGCATAATGTAACGTAATATAACATAATAGGACATTATAGTGTGTAATACTACACAACAATAGAATATACAGTAGAATCCACATAGTATAACATTATACAAGATCGAAAGATACGGTATGAAATACTAAAATATACTGCAACATAATATGATATAATTTGATATTGTCTTTATATATGTAATATACGATCACATCTGGTATCGTATCATGTAGTATATATTTCATAAAAAGACAACATAATGTAATGCAATATAGCGTAACACATATTATAATGTAACATAACATTAATACCTTGCAGTTTCATATATCACAGTATAACAGAACAAATTTGATATGCACTATTATCTTGTGTGATACTGTGTTCTGTTATGATATAATATTCTATGTTAGAATCGAATATGGTCTTGTACCATCTAACTTGTTTTTAGTATACCATGTTGCACTATCGTTTTTGACTTATACTATCTTCTTTCATCCTATACTTTTGTATCAACTTTGTAGCTCGTGATATTGCTCCATGCTGTCTTCCGTTATACACTCTGTGTACATATATATATATATGTATGTATGTATGTATGTATGTATGTATGTATGTATATGTATGCATATGTATATATATATGTGTGTATACACAGTAGTATACGTACATACATATATATATATGTGTATACAACTATGTTGTATACATATTCTCTTCTGGGCGCCTCTTGTGTGACCCCGGTGCCGAACTTGCTGAACTGCAGGTCCTGCCAGACATTCCCTAAACCCTAACCTAAAGCGTTAACCGCAACCCCCAAACCCTCAAACCCCGAACCACTCAAGTTTCACTAAAGACTAAAGACCCGAAAACCCCCAAACGCAGCCCTCAAAGCCCCGGAACTCTTAGCACTCCACTCCTGGTCGTAGAGGGCCTTCTTCCAGGAGTCGCTGAGCCTTCAAGCGTCAGGGTTGTGCGATATAGAAACATAATGTAAAACGTTCCTGTCACAGACTATATCATAGTAACTCGACATGCTTTCATACACACATCCATCCCTGCAGACATATGCACAAAGCTGCGACACAAAGCCTTACAGCCCTCCTAATTCCCGCAAGTGATGAGATCCCCACGTGGCATGCGCTTCCTGGATCTCCTTGAATCGGGTCTCGGCCTTTCGAAGTGATGACGAAGAGAGAAAAGGATTAGGGCTTTGACTTTGGGGGATTAAGGGTTTTGGGGTACTTAAAACGTAAAGGGTTAGGGGTTTGGGGGGTTTAGAGTTAATTATTAAAGGGTTTAGGGTCGTGGTTCGCACCTTTTTCCGACTGCATGAGTCCAAGCGGTTTTGGGTTTAGGACTCATACAGGATGAAATGAGGTACGGTGCAAAACGGGTTTGCATAGGGCTCCTGGTAGGCTTGTAGAAGGCCTGAATTCATATAGGCACTCAAGAAAAGGATCATGAAGGGTTTACACAAGGTTCGACAGGAGGTTCACACCGGGGCTTTATAGGGTTCATGGAGGGTTTCCATAAGAAGGGTTTGGGGTTCAGGAGGATTTCGGGCCAAGGCTATGGGAGTTCGAAGAGGCTCTTGAAAAACGGAAGGGAGCTGTCCTTCGAATATGCCGGATTAGAAGCAAGAGGCTTTCAGGTAACACCGCCTCCGGATCATCAACATTCCGATCCGGATGGTACCGTTTCGCAAGGCGTCGGTACCTGTGGAGACAGAGACAGAGCACCCAATTCGACTCACCACAGCCATGAGCCGGAACTTTGAACCTCATACTTCGCTGGGGCACGCTTCCTTAATCTCCTCCTTCTTTGCCTTTTGAGGCACCTCCAAGATGTCGTAGTACCTTGCAAAAAGGCATTCCCGACGGTTTGAAGAAGCGACCAAAAAAGGCTCAGACTCCCACGTCCGGCTCCTGCTTTGGGCCTTCGGACGGGACGAGGACGAAGAGCTTTCGCTTTCGGCCTCGTCTGCACTTTACGCGCTTTGAAAAAACTTGCCAAGCACGGTCAGCTGGCGAGGTGTACCAGGATCCTCTTATTTCCTCTTTCAGCTACTGTTCCTACTCTACTCGATGATTCTTCCCTTCCGGTCGTGCGCGACTCCGGAGGTATGACGGTAAGCGAGGATGGGAATGGGAAGCAAAGCGCTGCAGACTCGCCCTACTGAGCCTTTCACCGCAGGCCAACAAGGGATCCTATAGGACCCACAAAAATTCATACACATAAACTTAAACCCAAAACCCTAAACCCTAAGCCCCCAAATCCCAAACCCTAAAGCCCAAACCTTAAAGCCCAAACACACATAAATTAACAATGTCAGCCACAATCCGAGAGCCCAACGGAGAAGAATCGCAGCTGCTCCTCGGCCTGAACTTCGAAGTTACGCCCTCTTAGGGTTTAGGGTTTAGGGTTTAGGATGGCTGTAGAAGCATCGCACCCGGATGGCCGGCCGCAGCAAGCACCTGCGCTCGCTCTGGGGGCTACGTGAGCTATGCGGGACTGAGAGAGGTGTCGTTGGCCAAGCCACCTCGGAAGGAGCGGTCGAGTCAAAGCCGGTTTGAAGAGGCCGGCTCGAAGCATGTTGGGGTTTAGGGTTTACAGGGTCTTTGGATGCCGTGTCACACTGAAAATCCTCGATGCGCTGGCTTGCTGCCTGGGTCAGGTTCGTCCGGATGATGTGCACCAGCATACCGCCCAGACGTGCTTGGGGCAGTATCGTCTATACAGGCCAGTTAGTTAGATTATGAGACTTGTCCAGACATGTCTCGGCCTGGCATTTGCGTTTCATGGCACATGGTCGCAGCTGGCACGCCGATGCCCAAGGTAGCGCAAGCGAACAGCATCAAGCATGACTTGAGAACATGGGCACCTCACCACGCGTGCAGAGCTACCTTTTTCAGATTCCGTAGCTCTGAAAAATACCTGCATAAACAACCCTGCCCCGGATAATCCCCATTTAGGCTTCCCACGACCCCACACTGCGGGATTGGCACAGGCATACACTTGAGTAGAGCAGGAATCTCCTGCAGGCAGCTGTCTTCCCCTGAGCCCTTAAACCCCTAAATTCTTAACACCCCTTTGACCCTTCAACCCTCAAACCCTTGGGTCCTGAAGCCCTTAACCCTCAAAAACCCTTAAACAGCCTTAACAACCAGAATCACTAAACACACAAGCAGGGGCCTTACCCGAGCCGATACTTTGAAGGGCGGGGTGCCAATCCCGAGGGGGGAAGCCACGTCTTGGATGTAGGGTTAGAAGTACCAAGCAGCAACACTATACGATGATGGACTGGAGAAATTATATATGTACTGTCTGCAGGGTATACAACATGGTAGAGCCGTGCAATATAGCACAATATCATACAGATTCAGACGGTATACTAGCATATAGTGCAAGCTGTCTAGTGTAGCATTAACATACAACTGGTGTGAAACACGGCCAGGACCAAAGACAGCGATGAATCTTAGGCACTTCCAGCCTTGCTGACCATGTGAGACCTTTCTTCGTACAGTAGCTTCCACGAGGATACACGCACCACTTCAACAGAAGCAGCACCCCGGGAGCTTTGTGAAACCGTATCATGTACAGGTGGTGCGGGACGAGCTTACCTTCCGAGTCAGTGTGGCAAGGTGCTAGGAATGCTTCAGGCGTTGATTGCAGGAAGGGCAAGACGGAGGTGCGACGAGCCTGGAACCTCGCCCACGCCCACGTTTTGCAGCAGGAACCTGCGCGATATCGTGCATATATTATGCGGATGAGATGTCATGCTGTGTCACAGACCTTGCACGTAGTCCACGTAACCTTATCATGTCGATCGAAACTGAGCCTCGCACACGGGCGGCAGGACGCACGAGAACTCGCGGTGACGAGGTCAAGTCCTAACAAGCAAACGTGGCTGCTGCAGATGCCGTTACCGAGCATCGCTTCGCCACGGAACCGCCTCGCCCTTGCGAGAAGCCTTGCAGCCTGCGACGTACACGGAAACCTAGAGAAAAGTGAGATAGCCAATGCGAATGTCTCAGCGGAGATGGGAGCAACCTCGCCCGCCACGGCCACGTTGATCCGCACTGCCACGCCCCGCTGCGCGGCCTCAGGCAACGTCCGACTGAGTCCGACTCGTCCCTTTCGACTTTGCTTCCGGGCCCCTCGCCTCTGCCCCTGCCGGACTCCTTTTTCGGGGCCTGCGTGGCCGCCGCTGGCCCTCATAGGCAACGTACTAGGGTGCCATTGCTCTGCGTGCCCTTGCATTGCGAACTTAGGCCCGGACTCTTCATGGGCTTCCTGCGCCGTCAAGACCAGTATTTTAGTCACTGCTACGATATGTGCAGTCCAGATGTGTCTGAGGCAGTCCTCACAGCACTGACTGTTGAGACCTTCTGATTCTCCGTGCCCTGACAGATATAGTCTCGGCATCGAGGCTCGGGTGACCCCATTTGTCCCTAGAGGTGCAAAGCTGTAGCCTGTGACTGCGAGCTTGTGTGCTCCAGCGATTGCCACAGGGGGTCGCCATCTGTCCTGTGCCAGGTCTTGATTCCCAAAACAGGCGACCTAAGTTGATATAAGACCGCGACAATTTAGCAGCTACATTTAGCAATCCATTTCGGTATTTTAAGCTCCCTAAACCCTAAACCCTCGAAGTCGGGCCTGCCCCTCGTCGGAACAGAGCCTGGCGGGCCTCATGCAGCAACAAAGCCATACCCATGCCAAAGACCCGTGCGCTCTGAGGCAGCGGCCAGTGGCCCGCTTTGCACCCGAATCTTGCAGCCGTTTGGGATTCAGGGTCTAGGGCTTTAGGGGTTTAGGGTTCAAGGGTTTAGGGGTTTAGGGCTCCTAGGGCTGAGAAAAGGCTACGAAAGCTGCAGCCCACCTGAAGCTGATGGCTCCGCAGAAGCCTGGAAGGCAAAGAAAGACTTACTCAAAACCACTGAGGGCGGAGGCCATGAGGGCCGGGCAGAGTTTGCATGAATTGGAGGCAGTCCTCCGGCATTTTTCGGCACCCCAGTGCAGAATCTTAAAGTACCTTTAGGATTTAGGGTTTAGGGTTTAGAGCTTTTAAGTCACCCCTTCAGGGCACCCTTTAACACCCAAACCCACAAGTAACTCAATTAAACCCGAAGCAGCTAAGACCCTGGCCCCACCGTAACTAATAACCCCAAGACCTTTCAACACTCCCCAAACCCTAACCCCTAACTCATGGCAGTGGCCGCCCCTGCTGCGGGTCGGCGCTCATGCCCCTCGCAACCGATGGCGAAAACCACCGCCATCGGGACCATAGCACCCGCGTCGGACTCTGTACCAGAACATGTTCGCCCCGGAACCAGTACTGGTCCCTTCATGAAGTCATTTCCTCCGGCTTCAAGCTCGACAATGCTGCCCAGCAAGAAGATTCCCGGGGTTGTGGAGGGGAAACCGGCCCAAGGCTGAAGGGCCGGCAGGGCCAATTTCTGTCCATGCACAGACCTGAACGGCCGGTATTTGGACACTTTTGTGTCCATGTTGGGGGGGGGCAGATCAGAAGGCTGGAGAGCTTGTCTCTTGTAGTGTCTGTCTATTTTTTCTGTTATCGTGAGGCGATCTCGTTTCGGTGCTTGCTTCCACTGGCAATGGATACGGGTCGATGGCGGAACGGATAGCTTTCTATTAAGTTGAAAGATGGCCGACAAGAAAAGGTTGAACAGCCGCCTGGATGGTAGGATTTTTCTTTATTTGTATGGTGTGCATCTTTCCATGCTCCAACCAGCGAGCTCGACCTTGAACACCTACACCCGAACACTGCTCAAAAATCCGAAACCCGAAAACCCTACAACCCCGAAACCCTAAAACCCTGCACCCTGCAACATCAAATCATGAAGCCCCCAAACCAATAAACCACCCAAAACCTTAGAAACCCCCAAACTCATGGCATAGGCCACCCGCACTGCGGGTGGGCGGCCCTGAAGCCCCTCGCCGCCAATGGCGAAAGCCACAGCCAAGGGCTTTGTCGAACCCGGAACCGGAAATTGTTCAGACCCTAAACCCTAAACCCAAAGCCCTAAACCCTAAACTGTTCTGTCCGGGACCAGCACTGGTCCCTCAATGAAGTCACTCCCCTAAACCTCAAGCTCGACAAAGCCGGCTGGTTTGATCTGGTGTGGGAACCCCCCGAAAATCCCCGAAAAAATGGGCCAACCAGGAGAGAGCCGCCTGCGAGCGGATTCCAGGAGGCCCGGAAAGAGCTCCCCCAAATTTTAGGAAAACGAGAAGGTTTTGGGTTTTTGCTGGAGCCTCCAAAGTGAAAGCACGTTGTGGAATGAGTCTCAGCCTAAACCCCAACAGGAATAGGTCTGGGTGGTTTCTGCGCGGAGTGGGAGAGGAAGAACGAAAAGTCTTCCACAAATAGACTTTGACAGCTCCCTCAGCCCTGAACCCAATGCGCAACTCCATTGCTGACCTCGCTCCCTTGTCTTTGGCGGGTCGTCGGGCACCCCTGGCAGCGCAGGAGGACAGATAGTGCGGTGCATCGCTTGTTCTGTATCTTCTTTCTATCTATCTATCTATCTATCTACCTATTTATTTATCCATGTCCATTATCTATCAATCTATCTATATGTGTGTGTGTGTAACCATAACTTCAATATCAATAACACTATAATAATATAATTCGGCTCCTCGCAATACTTGCCAGGCCGGCGGTCGACGCAGTCGGCGACAGCCTGTCAACAAAAGAGAGCACTTTTGAGACTTAAGGTTTAGGGCGTTTAGGCTTTGGGGTTTAAAGCTTACGGGGTTTAGGGGTTTAGGGTTTAAGGCCTCAAAGCGTGGCGTAAGGTCCCTCGGCTCCAGGTACCAGGTCCTGCATGGAGCCGGAACTCTGCGAAGCTTCGGAGAAAGTCTCCCGAGGCCGCAGCTCCATCCGCCACCTCGCAGCCAAAGATTGCGCGGAGTCGCTTCGAAAATTAGGGCCGGGATTCTGAGACTCGCACCCCTGCTGCCGCCGATCTAAAAAAACATCATTCCGGAGCACAGCGGCTTTGTCGATTTTAGGGGGCGTCGTACGGGCTTCTTGATGTCAGGATGTCGTTTTCCAGCAGATAGGAGAATGCCAGAAGGGTGTTTTAGAGTTGGGGGGGGGTGGGGTCTGAAGACAGCTCTCTGTGCTCTGGCAGATGTCCTTGCCTTTGCAACGCCGCTTCTCTTATCTTCCTGCCCCGGAACAGCTGCAGATGCACATGCTATGCCACCAAAGCAGGTACGTGAGGTCGCCAGGGAAGATTGACGACTACGAGGCATGACAGAGGTATCGGAGAAGTCGGACGAAAGAGGGTGTCACCGTTCACATCGACAAAATCGTCGAACGCGCAATGGTTGCCCCAATGCCCAGACAAAAACCTGCGGACGTTCTCAAATGAAGCGGTTCTGGAAATCTCAACCGTCTAAGCCAGTACGCCAGAGCCTAGACTCTAGACCGGTGTTAGACGACCGAGTGGACGGCGACTGTTTTTCTGAGGTGCGGCTTGGTCTCTGGTGCCACAGAGCCAACCTCCCGGTAAGCAAAGACGGTGCTCGTAGCAGGGGCAGCCCCTGCCCATGCGCCAAAGTCATGCTGGCATGATGGGCTTGGAAAGGAGTCGTATTGGCTGTTGAACTGTGAATCACAGTTCTCCGAATGGCATGAAGTTACTTTGAACTTTCTTGCTCGGGCTTGCTCGGCTTCAGGAACCGAGGGCAGCCCAGTTTCAAAGCCCAAGGTGCCGGGAGCTAGAGCAAGGGGTTCAGACTCCAAACCCATAAGAAGGGGACACAACTGCATCAGCATGAAAGGTTACGTCACGGTATGGCATCTCGCTGCAGCACGAAATGACCTGCCGAAGATGATTTTCCGCACACCGCTGTGCACTGTACATGCGTGTGGGTCTTAAGGCTTTTTGTCTGCGATCTACTGCCACGCCAGACGCTCCACATTGGAGAAGGACTCGATGTGCCTGTACCTGGCACAGTTTAGGGCATAGGGCTTTGGGTTGCTAGTGCCTCCGGATGTGAAGACTGCCACTTTCAAGTCATGGAAGATTTGCCATCTGCCCAAAGATGGTGTAGTGGGGCAGCCTCCCGGGCAGAGTAGGGAACCTCCAAAGCTGCGGAATGGCGGAGCTGGGGGCCTGTTTCCTTCTGCATCTTCTCGTAGAGATCCCGGTCTTGTCTGGAGGGCCTGATGGCTCATAGCATCGGCAAATGTGGGCACCGCCAGCAATCACGAAGGCTTTGGGTTGACTCGGGCAAACTGCCTGAAGCCCGCGACGTAGGACTGCTCCGACAGGACAGCCTCCCAAAGTTTCCGTCAAGCACACAGCTCCTGTCCAAACTGTTCGCTTCGATGGGGTGGGCATCACCGGAGCCTCGCCCGGCACCCGTTTGCAACTCTTGGCCCTGGGCCTCCAATTTCGAGACATCCGAGGTCGAAGCCGAACCTGAAGCTGAGGTTTAGGGTTTAGGGTCTAGGGGTAGGGTTTAGGGTTTAGGGTTTAGGCAAGGGTGCCACCACTGCCCCCTTCCAGACACGCCCAAGAAAGCCGAGACCAAGGCCTGCGGCTTTCGTCGAAGCTACCGGCTGCGGCGCCGATGCCGGTGCCCCGGTCGCTGGGGCCTGCATCATATTAGCAGTTTTCGTATTTTTCTATTCATATGAACATTCCTCTTATGATTCTGATTGTGATTAGCCTTAATATTATGAGTAGTAGTGCAGTCAAGGACCCTTGGGCTTTGATTGAAGCTTCTCTTTGGGCAGCTCTCCACGACCGAGTGAGCCTAGACTTGACTTATCAATGCCATCTCTGTAGAGCTAACCCATGTCAACACATGATGGCCAGCTACGCTCTTGCAGTTCTCAACGCATTCGTGCGGAGTTCAAGCAACTTTCTGTGGCAGTGTTTGGCCTCCACCTCAACCCTTCTCAGCGGTATTGAACCCTATTTTTAAACTTGAAACCCTAGGGTATCCTAGAATCCTACATTCCAGAATTCCAACCGTTAAATCTCCACACCCGAAATCCCTTGACGCAATGACCTAAACTCAGAAACACCTAAAGTCGTACGAAAGCTCAAAACCCTACACCATAAGCCCTCAAACCTTACCCTCAAGCCCCAAGCCCTGACCCTTCCCTGCAGTTGGTTGCGTTTGCTCAAGACCCGGCCTGTCCGCCAAAGTAGCTGTCAACCTTCCCCAAGTCCTGATCACGAGAGGCTTCAGAAAGCCCCCGCTCAAAAATTGGGCTTTTGCGAAACCCTACATCGAGAATAACCGAAAATGCTTGCGATCTCAGAGCGAGACGTCTATGGGGACATCTTTCTGCTTGAGGTCGTCTGGGTCTGTCGCCTTGAAGTTTCGGAGGTCCTGGCGGAAGCGGTGAGCTCTGGAATTACGGGCCCTACAGGCCACAGGTGCACACCAAAAGCACGGTCCTTGATGCGAACTAAGCCCTTGGACCACTCATCCGGAGCGACAAACGCTATTCTCTCTGCGCCGGCACGGTCTGCATAGTTAAAGGCCTGCAAGGCAGACAGAGACTCAAGATGACCCACTTTTCAAAAGGTTCCTGCATGACGCACTAGACTAGACAACAGAAACGTGTCTCGACATGCCATGCCACGTCTGCTACGAATGTGCCCCACCTTTGCAACTTTCTTCGATGCTTCCGCATAGACCTTTAATCGAGGCTTCAAATGGTGCATCAACGGCTCATGCACTCACTCACTCACTCACTCACTCACTCACCAACTCACTCACTCACCCACCACGCACATGCGAAGAACGCCGGCAACTTAAATTAGAAGCTGCTCGAGACATCCTTCCTGCTGTGGCTTTGAGCATTGCTGTGGTTACTTCTTTGCATCAGCTCAGGCTCTGGCATCAACGGACTTGCCTGCCTTGCGCAGCAAGCGCGCGACTTGCAGTGCCTGAACGTCAGCTCATCTCTCATGCTTGACCCTGAGCCAACCCACACCGAACGCTGTTTTCTTGTCTCGGCGGCGTTTGGAAGCCTGGCCAGGTGCCCTTTTCAGCACAAGCTCCTCACAGAGTGATGGGAGCATAGCTTGTTCCTGGTCGAGAGACGTTGAAAACAGTCGTGGTCTTCTGCTGCATCTCCGAAGTATCGTATTCACAGGCGGCCCCAACTTTGAGCTCGAGCTGCGCCGCTTTGAGCACTGGGTGCACCACTCGTCGGAGATTCGGAGATGGGCATCGCCCACCGGGAGAAGACTCACGTGGAAGGGGTTTGCGCCGGGAGAGGCTCCACCGTGTAGGCTCAGTCGTCTTCGCCACCCAGAGCCTGACCCCGCTTGACTTCTCGACGTCAGCTGCGACATTTCGTATCACCTGACATGCATGCACACAGGTGATGAACCGGCCCAGGCGAGACCGTCTGGCAAACATCTCGCGCTATCAATTGCATCGGCTGCATCGGTTAATCATGTGACTGAACCAGTGGGAACTCCTACGGGAGGCAGCAACGAGGAAGCACCACCACGACGGCGACGACGACGACGACAACGCTACAACAGCGACAACGCCAGCAACACCTAGTACAACAGTCAGAAGACTAACAAGTGGTGACGGCAACGGCATGACATGGTTGCTTCTCAAGAGCAACATCATCACACAATCCTCGCAAACACTAACATCTCCATCGTCGTCATCATCCCATCCTCTACGACTCTACGATCATTACATCGTCGTCAGGCGCCTCAGCTCTTGAACTCGTGCGGCTCGAAACTCTTCTGCCGACACGACCCCGTCATTGTCGGTGTCCTTGGGCGAAAGCGAAAGAGGTTGCAACGCTTCGAAATCCATGATGTCTATCGGCATGCGCAGCGTCGCACAGCGGATGCCAACCTGTCAGAGCTGCCGTGCCAGGTGGCCTTTCCGCCCTTTCGCCACCGCTGCTGTGTGGTCGTACCAGTGAACCCTATATCCTACGCCCCAAACCCTCATAATTTAGGCCAGGAGCCAGCAAAGCAAAGTCTTGAGCAGCACGGTTCTCCGCGCGCTCCCGCGCCGCACCGAAGGCAAGTACCGTCGTCCCGGGCCGCCTCATTGTGCCACTGCTCATCTCCACAGAACGTGCTGCTTTGTGTAGAAAAACAGATGTCTATATGTATTTATCCGATTGGATTTTATTTTGTGATTTCCACACTTCCCTCTTGTCTCTGTCAATGGAACTCATTGACACGAAGAACTCACGTCGGGCTTTCGAGTAAATTTCTTCACTTGATTCCCTGACAATTTATGCTTCGCTGCCGGGGTGTGCCTCCCTTCCATCTGCCGGTCAATCAGTACCTTGCGCTCTTCTTGGCCAGTGCCGCCATCACGGCGCTCCTCCAAACAGTCATCTTCAAAGTCGCCAGCTCTGACAAGACTGCCGAAGATGGACCGCGGGTCCTCTAGGTGCTGCCGAAGGGTCTGCACACGCTGTGCCTGCCAAGGAGCACGCATGAGTTCCATGAGCTTCACTTCACTTTTTCAGAACGATTCTTGTGGCCGTCATACATCGATCCGGCCTCATCGGGAAGCTGCCAGTCGGGATGTCCTGCTAGTATTCCCAAGATAGATCGGGGCCTGCTTTGGCCTAAGCACCGGACGGAAAACTCTTGGGTCGCCGTGAGTTGCCCGCGCGCCGTGCTCCCGGCGCATCAAGTTGCTTCGTGGAGGCGCTTCTTGTTGGAAGCGGTGCTGCCTGGAAATGCCGCCAAACGGCCCCCAATGTTGAAATGCCTGGAAATGCCCCTAATCGCCCTAAAGCTTAGTTACAGTTGGCGCCTAACTACCCTAAATCCTCAGGCTGTCGGAGTACTTCGAAGAAGTTTCTGGCTCGGAACGTCCCAGCCTCGAGGCACTTGCATCATCCTTTGGTGGATCCATGTCGTGCAGGAGGTGGCTAGCCTGGTGTAGGAGGTGGTGTGGGGCTAGGGCCATTGGGGTTTGGGCATTAGGGTCAAGGCTTAAGGGTGTTACTAGGATTCAAAATTTCAGTGCTTTAGGGCTCTGGGCTTTCCTTGCCTTCTCCCTCAGCTCCTCCGCAGCCTGGACACGGAGGCAGTTTTCCCTAAACCCTTCCACCGAAGAGCTCGGACGCTGCGATCCTGCTGCAAGCCCTCGGCCGCTGCCCCCAAGCCTGGGTTCTTGTTAAGGGATTTATTTTAAGTTGCCATAATAAGGAAACCATGTTAGATACTATAGATCCCCATTATGGTAACTGAAATTACTTAACTGAAAACCTTTGACAAGAACCCAGAAGCGCGCGGAGATGGGTCTGACTGGATCCATGCTGCCCAAAGCTCCTGACTCAGAGATCTCTCAGAGAGCCACGGGCTTGCAAGGATCCATCGCTGCATGCTTCTTGCAAGAAAAGTGCAGCCGTGTCCTTGCATGTAGCCTCGCGCGCGCATGGATGAGAGCAGAGGGCGATAAATTAGCAAAATTCCCGAAGAATGAAGCAGCGCAGGCCAGGCATCAAGGATCTGGCAAATCTGTGCACATCGCTCGGTCTCCCGGCCTGACATGCGGCTGACGAGGCGGGCAACGCTGCGCAGTGCCACGCTGTGCTCCTGCCAGCTGCAATGAAGGTGTCACTGCAGCCACCACACGAGGCTCTGCCAGGCGCTCCTCCAGAGCCGTGGTAGACGGCGTAGCATCGATCAGCTCTGTGCAAGTCCTCAGAGGGCATCCCTCACTGGCTCTTTGGCTTCACAGGGGCAAAATCCGCTCCTGGAAACAATGCCAGTCAGCCAGCGCAAGAAGGCGGTGAGCCTCACGCTGTTCGCAGTTTGCCCCAATGCCGTGAGCCGGAAAAATACCATCCGGTGCCTTTCGAGGCTGCTGCCCACCGCCCATTCTCCGTGCTGCCTGAACCAAGGTGCCCCTCTCCGGGTTTTTTCACATCATCAGTGTGTACACTCCTCTGGCCTCACGGTCCAGTCCGGGGCTGACTGCAAGAGTTCTCCCAACTCAGTTGCCCACGCCTGACACTTGGCAGCAAGAGCGACCCTTAAACCCTAAGGCCCTAAAGCTCCCGAAACCCCCGCCCGAACCAGAAATCGAAACCCATAAGACCAGACCCAACCGCCTAAACCCCACACCCCCCAGTGTCCGGCGCCTCCGCAGCAACAAGGACGGCACCTCGCTGCGCCGATGCTGCCAAAGGCTCCGGAGCAAGCTCCGCCTGCAGAGTCACCGGAGCTGAGCTGCTACTGGACGAGGGGTTCTTGGACTTACGGGTCCGCTTGGGGCTTAGGGTGTAGGGTTTAGGGTTACTGCACGAGGGGTTCTTAGAATTAGGGGTCCGCTTGGGGCTTAGGGTCTAGGGCTTAGGGTTGGGATGCTCCAATGTGAAAGATCCCACTGCTTGGCGCTTGCTGTCCTCACGTTACTCCTTGATTCTGACTATTCAGATATCGCCGTTACTCGTATTCTTAGCATTGTGTTTCCATCCTTTTATATATGTACCCATACATACATACATACATACATACATATGTATGTACATACATACATACTTCCATACTTCCATACTTCCATACTTACATACTTACATACATATGAGAACTCTTACACCGTCCCGGGCCTCGCAGCGCCAGGCCGGTTCAAGGCCCTTCAGCAGGGATCGGACCTGGGAGACTCTCTCATGCCCCCGAAGCCCTACGACTTGGGGTTTAGGGTTTAGGGGTTAGGGTTTAGGGTTTTAGGGTTTTGGGGTTTAGGGTTTAGGGGTTTAGGGTTTATGGAGGTTTAGGGTTTTTTTATGCCTGATATACGCCGATGTAGTATAGCACTACAGTAGATTAGAGCAGAGTGAGGGACGATCCAGTAGAGTCTAGTGGAGTCCAACAGAGTCTGACATGTTCTGTAGAGTCTGTATAGAGCAGAGTAGACCAGAGTAGTGTATAGTGGGCTACACCCCGAACCCTGAAACCACGGAAGACTTCAGCGCTCGCTTTCATTGGCTCTGCCGTGCTGCCATGGACGGAGCTGTCTTGGGGAGGATGTCTGGCAAGTCCTCACAAGTGTAGTGCTCACGCTTTAAGGCTTTCGGGTGTGGGGTAGAAAAGTCTTCAGTCGGAACCCAGAGACACGCGAATCTTAGTTGAGCTCTCCTTTGTTGCCGCAGGCTTTGCTGCCCCTGCCGTTTCGACTGCATCTCCCGGCAACAGCCTCTTCTCGCTGTCAAAGGCAACAGCTGCGGAGTTACACCAATTCTATGACAATTTGCAGGCACAACACCTCGAAGGCGCGTTGTGCGGCAACCTGTCAGGCTGAGACGGGCGGCAACATCCAGGAGCATCCGCCAGCTAACAGCTCTGATCTTCTCCGACCTCTGTGCCGCTTGCGCGAGGCGAGGTGCATGAACGAAACAAACCTGCAATCGGATGACTTGTCTATGCAAACCTTTCAATGTGCAAGTGCAGAACTCGAGTGCATCTGCGCCCTTTGCCTGCTCACAATCCGTAAACGTAGTGCATTTCAGCGCCTCCCGATGCAGGAGCTAACTCAGGTCTCACGGGCAATGAATTGCTGGGACAGCACTCTTCCGCACTGACAGTAAACATGCGAGCGGATTTCCCACCTGCGAATACTCCTCCAGCACCTGCAATGCCGAATTCCATGGCTCCGCAGGTGGCCATGGCATCGGCACGGTGGACGCCATGGCACCATAAAACTAAGATGCAAGTAGGGGATGCATTGAACATCCTCGTGCCGAGAAACATGCACACTTTGGCGCAGCCTTCTGGATCAAAGTCTTGACTTGACAAAAGCTGCTGAGCAACTCTGGCTGCTGCAGAGCTCGTTAAAACAAGCTCTGCTTTCGAGTCGTCACAGCTGCAAAGTAACCGCACCAGCACATTCTTCTACTAGATGTGCCAAAAAACACCCCCTCCTCGCACCTTGCCCATCATGTCCTGGTTGAAGGCTGCTACCACAAAGTCCACTTTGTGGGGCAACTCGGGAAGCACCTCTCTTGCAACGGAAACCCCCAAAACCATCTTGCAGCTCAGGTCATGCAACGCCGCCTTCTTCTCCTTGAGGAGCTCGTAGATAACGCAGTCTCCGAAGCCGAAGCCTGCGCATGGAACCTGCGGAAGACCCCTACTGAAAATCTCTGCTATAGCACTCCGACATCAAGCCTTGGCCTCCATGACTGCTAGACAGAAAGCACGGTAGGTAGGGCCAGTTCTTCGGAGCTCTACTGCTGGAGTGTGGACTTTCGCCTCACGGCAGCCTACGGCCTCCCAACTTCCTGCACCCCTGAATCATCCATCGGCGTTTGTAAGAAGAATGCTTCGGTGACTTACTCTACCCGGTTGCATGCAATTCGAAGCTTTTGCAGCTGGCCTCCTTGGGAGATCCATAAAGTGTCAGCAATCTGTCGTACCTGATACCGAAAGCCGCTTTCCTATACGGTAGCCTCAACTACGCAAATGGAAAATACTTGAAACCGTGCCCAAGCTTCAAGCCGGCCACCACCGCAGATGGCGCGCAAAACGCCGGCACGGTCGAAACCTTGCGGAAGGCAACACCATCACTGCTGTGACTCAGGTTTTCGCAGGGGGTAGTGCCTTCGAAGACCACACCGGTGTAATAGGCCAGACCTGCCGAAGGTGAGAGCTACAAGGTCAAACATACTCCTGCAGCTACCGACCAAACCGTCAAAGACGAACCCTTGGTTGTCCAATAGTTGTTCCTATCATTCCCCTTGCGGTCCTCGAACGACGGAGGCATCGAAGATCAACCAGTCGCCAAAGCCTGCGGATGCTCGCTTTGCTTGCTTTGCTTGTTTGCCGGACTGGCCGGACAGCCTCGAAGCTTCTTAGCATGCGCTTGCATACAACGAACGTTGAAGACACGTCATTGCTTCGTCTACGCATGCTATGCCGATACACACTACCAACTCAACAGCTAGTCTTCCCTTCATGTACGGCCTTCAATCAATCAAGGTAAGCCAAGTTTGCGAACTGCGTGTGGGCATCTTTTGCACAACCAGCACATGTGGTGAGGCGGAGCTCTACCGCAACACCCATCTAAGCCGATTCATCCCAATACTTCAGTGGTACATGGATGCCAAGGATGGCAAAGCGAGATCGCGAAACCGAAACCAGGTAATACAAAAACGAGCATAACGAGCAACAGAAATGACAGCGGGCGGATGAGCTCAGCGTTCTACTGGATTCCGGGACGGTCGCTGCTCCGTGCCGGCCTGCTTTGCCGTACCAGGCTGGCTCGTCTTTCGGGAAAATTGAAGACCGGACCGAAAGCAGTGTTGCTTTCCTTCTACTTTACTAGACTATACCGTACTATACCATACTATACCATACTATACCATACTATACCATAGTCTACCATAGTATACCACTTGTATCATAGTATACTACACACTACACTAGATTAGACTATCCGTGTTGTCCCTAATTTGCCGGACCCACGGCGGCCTTCCTCTTCCGCCAGCGTGAAGAGTTGCCGCAGCTCAACCACCTTCAAAGATAGTGGAGTAATGTAGAATGTAGTATAGTATAGGTACTGGTACTGGTACTGGTACTGGTACTGGTACTGGTACTGGTACTGGTACTGGTACTGGTACTGGTATTGGTATAGTATAGTATAGAGATAGTGCAGTACAGTATAGCATAGTATAGCATATCGTATCGTATCATAGAGTATAGTATAGTACGGTATAGCATAGTAAATAAAGTGTAGTCGAAAAGTGGAATCTACTGTAACATGTCATAGCATGCTATACACTAACAAGGGGAGCATCAGGGGCTCTGGAATAAGTCCCAGGCCTCTGGGCTCTCGCCAACCTGGGCCGTCGCAACATGGTGCCCTTCACTGAGACAAACACAACTGGAATACTTCAGGGTTTAGGGTTTAGGGTTTAGGGTTTAAGGGTTTAGGGTTTAGAGATCACGAAACAGAAACCAGGTGACGCGAAGACAGGCAACAGCCAGGTCGGCTGGAGAGAATAGACAAGCATGCTGCGCGCCTCCCGGCCATGTGATTTCATCACTCAGGCTTTGGCACCCGCCAAGGATGCGAACTCATCCAGCGTCTTGGCCTGAGTCAATCCACGCAAGCTGCTGACGCAACGCTTTTCGACATCTGCTTTTTCAGCTTGGCACAGTATAGTAGAGTATGGTACGGTCTGGTGTGGTAAAGTTCAGCATAGTATGGCATGGCATGGCATGGCATGTTAAAGTATAGTATAGTATAGTATGGTATGGTATGGTATGGTATAGTCTAGTCTATAGTCAAATCTAGTCTAGTCTTAGTCTTAGTCTTAGTCTTAGTCTTAGTCTTAGTCTTAGTCTTAGTCTTAGTCTTAGTCTTAGTCTTAGTCGTAGTCTCAGTAGTATAGTATAGTATAGTATAGTATAGTATAGTATAGTATAGTATAGTATAGTATAGTATAGTATAGGGCAATGTCTATGATATACTATGGTGTAGAGTAGTGGTTGCCGATTTGCTGCTAGCTCCGGCTCTGGGTTCCCTACGGCCGTGGCATTGACGATCCGCTGCGCAACCGCCTCGCCAGGGGGCACATCCTTTGAAAATGCGAGCGTCTTTGGCGCAAAAATTAGGGACCCCGAAAAACGAGCCAAATCTGATACTTGGGGATTCATGGTCCCGAAAATCAAGATACAGTATCCTGATTGCATGGAACCCCCAAACCCAAGCCACTCAAACTGAGGGGACCCCTCACATCAAAGTAGGCTCCGTCTTGGGAGCGACTCCGGTGCTGAACTTTCAGCCGGGTCTCCTGGTCCAGGCCGATCTTCCTCGGAACCCGTCGCAGGTTTGAGCCCCTCATCCCCGAAGGGGCCATCATGTAGGGCTTTGGGAGTGTGTCAGAGGTATGATTATGCAAGGAATGGCGGGTGGATGTTCACCATGAAGCTAAACGAAGAGCTTCGAGGTGCTGGGCTCGCAAAGCCAAGGGGCTCAGTCAGTTCCTTTACGACGGCCTCGGCTCCGATCTTGTCCTGAAATGCCGCCCCCAGGTGAACAACTGCAACACCAGACCTGCTCAAGCAGCGGTCCTGCTTGTCTATCACGACGCAGGTCTCGGTAAATCGCTCGTCCTCAAACTTCACTCATGTACCGTGACCCCCTCATCCGCAATTTGTCGCTTTTATGCCTACGAGGCAGCCTGGGAGCTACTCAGGGAAGCGAAGGAGGCTGTCAAGCGTCTTCTCGTTTTGGCTGTACTTAGGTTTCAATACGCTCTCGCAGCCAAAACCTTTCCGTTGTGGGCACCACACATTGTGCATGCACGGCAGCGTGCAAATACTCAGGCAAAGATTCGCTGTGCAGAATGAGCTCAAGAAGACCATTCAACCCCAGGAAACGAAGTTTGCAAATTGTGGGTCTGGGTCCCGTGCCGGTACACCAGAATTCTTCAACACGGCTCCGAGAACTTTCCGCGAATTCACCTTGATACCCACTTCCTGCAGGTGCTCTGCAAGGCGGACCCCTGACAGTCACGGCGAAGGCTTCCTAGTGGCCAGCGGCATGCGGCGTGGTTCCCTCGCAGCAGTCCTTCGACGTGATTCCCACCTGCATCCGCACAGACGAGGTGACGGATGCAAGTGGTGTGGTGTGGTCGGCTTCCCTGCCTCAGGTTTTCCGCTCTAGTTGGTTTCGACGGACTTTTTGCCGTCTTTAAGATGTACGATTCGGGCTAAGATTTACGATTTGTTTCCGGTGTGTTGGGCCCGAAGTGCTGCCTGGGCCAAGATGTACGATTTGTTTCTGGTGTCGCGGGCTCGAAGTCGTGGGGCCCTGTGTACGTACATCTTCGTCAACTCGACGCTTCTTGTGAAGGCAGACTTTCCCTGAGCGCGGTCTGCTGCTTAGTCTTGGAGGCTGCCCTGGGTTCGTGCTCGAAGCATGTTTTATCCATGGAGCCACATCCATTTTGCCTGGGCTCTTTAAACAAGCCCGAAGGCCTGCACTGCCTGAACTTGAAGCACTGCCCGTAGCCGGGCTTGCGCTTGCCTTCTGTGTCCACTCCGAACTGAGGCTGCTGCGTGCTCAAAGAAGGACGTAATGGCTGAAAGCAGCTCAACCTGAAGATTCCCAGGATGTCAACGCACTGAGAGCAGCGGTCAAAGTGCCTCGGCATGGATCGAGGTGATGCCGACGATATCCATGTTCCACCTTTGCTTTTCCATGCTGCTCAGTCCCAGTTGCCGCCCACTGGCCCATGCCCAAACATCCTCACGAGATCTGCGGGAAGATGTCTAGGGCATGTATCTCAGTCTTCTGGAGAATCTCACAAGCCTGGTTTCAGACCGGGACTTGCCTGGCAATCGCTGCTAAGGCTTCTGCTGGTAGTGTTCGCGCTTCCGACCGCGCTGGCAAGTCTCGAAGCGCCTTGGTGATTCAAGTACTGGGCTTGTCATGTCAGGAACTCAAGTTAAGATAACATGGTAACGAAACCACACCGTATATCGCCAGAATTGCAATTTCAAAGTGCTTGACAAGGACTCCGGGAGCCTTTCCCTCTTAGCAGCAGGCCAACACTGTGGGATGGAGGACCACTTCAAGGGGAGAAGGGCCGACATCTCACCTGCCATAAAGAAACTCTCGCGGGTTACTCTGTGAGCTCCAGGGTGGCCCCCTTGCCTGTTTCGGCACGCATGAGGCTGAGAACCTCAGCAAGAGCTCCAAGCTGGCAAAAAACAGAAATACATGGATAATGAGGATAGCAATCGACAACACGAATGATAATCATGTATATGCAATAATGTATGTAAGTCGGGCTCCCTAAAACCCTGAAGCCCTCAAACCCTAAACCCTACAACCCTAAACCCTAAACCCTAAAACTCTAAACCCTAAACCTCACATCTCCTGTCCTCTCTGAAAAGGGCCCAGCCATCCGGGACAGAGACGGCGTCATCTCGGGCCTGCGACGCTCACCGCGCGCGAGCGTGCCCCACAGCTTGCCGCTGAACGGTTTTAGGGCTTAGGGAAGTTTAGGGTTTGGGATTTAAGGTGTAGGGGTTTTAGGGTTTAGGGTTTAGGGTTTTAGAGTTTAGGGTTTTAGGGCTTCAGGGCTTTAGGTTTTAGGGGCTTCAGGGTTTTAGGCTTTAGGGTTTTAGGATTTTGGGTTTGCCGGAGTAGATAGGGGACGCCTAGCTGCACCAGCTTCGGCACCCAACACGAGGCCTCAGAGTGACCGCCGCACCGTCCTTGTCGATGAAGTTGTACCTGAAGCGCCATGTCTCTTCCTTCCTTCGGTCATAGAGGGCTTAGGGTTTAGGGGTTTAGGGCTGTTAAGGCCCTCCGGGCTCCAAGCCCCCCCGTTTGCTATCTGGGGCTTTTGGAAGGGCGTGAAAACTCGGAGTGTGGCATCTTTCTCCCCGGGCATCATGCCCACCCGATGTTTCATCGGAACGAGGGGAGTGAAGAACGAATGTAGATCATGATAAGGCTAAAGCCATCAAGTATGCGATAACAAGACCCTGATGATCGTACAGTCTCAAAGACACATGCTTTAAGCGCCGTGTCTATCTCTCTCTGTCTTTTCTTTCGCCATGACCCCCTCCCCGCCCTCCCTCCCTCCCTCCCCCTCCCTCCCTCACTCTGGCTCAGCTTTCCACCAGCACAGGAATTCGATCGAAGGCTCCGCTCCACTTATGTCTCCGTAGCAAAGTGCCCCCCAATGGATCAAAACTACCTGCGCGCACATCTGTTCGGTGATCTCCTCGCCGGCCTTTCTCTTATAAAGCTCCTGACAACAACTGGCAGGGTTTAGGACTCTAGGGCTTTAGGGGTTTAGGGGTTAGGGCTTAGGACTTTAGGTTTTTTTTTAGGGTTTAGGGTTTAGGGCCCGGCCCCTTGGGGATTTAGTGGCTGGGGTGTAGGGTGTAGGGCCACGGATGACACGAACTTTCACTGCTGGAATGCGCCCGGCCTCGTTCTCCAAGACCGGCGCGTCGTACTCCTGAAACCTCGACCCGGACACACCATCATGCTGCTAGGCACGGCACTAGCGGCGATGGCATCTCAAATTGCTTCAAGCACAGCCGCAAGATCTGCTTTGGCAGCCTTGGTCTTCTTGGAATCTGGAGCTGAGCCCGAAGCCCATATCTACGAGCGATCTCTTTGAAAGCTCCTGAGGCATCCAAGGCAAGGATGATTGACATCACAGAAACTTGCATAACTGCTGCATAACTGACAGACTGAAGCCGATAGCAGACAGTGGTCGTGCAGCATACATGCAGCCAGGCGTCCAAAAAGCCAGTTGCGAAACCTGCAACTGCGTCTGAATCCCGCATGCGAAGGAGCATCAAAACAAGAAGCAGCTGGCTTAATGCAAAGAAGAAGACCTTAGAGGAATGCCTCCTACTACGTCCTTCTGCCCACCTAAACTGCCGAAACCCGAAACCCCTGAACTCTGCATGGACTCTAAAACCCGAAGCCTGAAACTTTGGATCGCAAAGCCCTAAAGTCCTAAACGCCACCTACCCCGCAAACCCTGCGAAAACGATCCTGCCTCATGTCGGCGGGGAAAAAGTCTCGTGTCCCACTGGGTGGGTCCAAGCTTATCGCGGGACCTTTCGCTGCAGCCTTCGGATGATAGAGGGACTTCGGGGTTTTAGGCTTGGGGCTGGTCGGTGGGAGGCCCCAGGCGCGGCTTTTTTCGTCGTATGGGTTCGAGATTCCGTCCGCAGACTGTGGCACCATGTCGGAATACATGCCGGCATAACTACACCAATCCCTCTAGTCTTCTTCTCCTTGCTCTACCATCATGGAGGATCGTTGCTGGCAGTCGCTCGCCCAGCACGCAGAGGCTGATGGAATTCTGCTAGATTGCTTTGCTTTGTTTCAGTCACAGTAGGCAGCTCGTACTACACCATGCCTTTTTGTCATCTTTCTTCTTGTCATCCTTCTTCTTGTCGCCTTTTCCCTGCGCGCCAGACGCACTCAAGATCTCAGAGAATCTGCCACAGGTGGAAGCCTTCTCCTTCTCGCTCATCCCAAGCGGCTCCACAGGCCTTCGCATCTACAAGGCATGTCTCTGTTGTTTGTACAACTGGTACCATACATACGTGCACACGCCCGCCTGCCTACCTACCTACCTACCTACCTACCTAGTACGTACGTCGTACGTACGTCGTACGTGCGTACGTACGTACACTCACACACAACCTACCCCGTGCAGGAAATGAGGCGAGGAGCCGACCGCAGAGCAGCAGTCCGCGAAAGTCCGGACCCTACACCACCTACGCTGTGAACAGAATGCCATCGGAACAGAAGTCTCTGCTTCGGACTGAATGAGTTCGAGGAGGAGACACCCCACAGCGTCCCCGGCGCATGTGCCTTCCCTTTACATTGAATGCCCTGTCGGATGGAGTAGGACTTTCACTTGCCCTGTGATCACGGGTCTCGAAAGATTCCATCTGAAGCCTTCCGAGGTCTACGAGACTTTGGCGGATCTTTGCCACCGGTCACAGGAAGCTCCCACAACGAAGCCTTGCCTGCAGGGAGTCATCAGCAAAATGCATGGGACTTCGTGCAAAAGCAACGGAAACGCCTCTGATTGCTGGCGGATCGGAGCAAACAGAGGCACCGTCATCCAAACCTCGATACTTTCCAGAACTGCGTTCGCTCGGTACATGAAAGCAGCCTCTTACAATGTTTCTAAAACCAGCTAGTGCAGCTAGTGCAGACATAGGTCGACCTAAGGCAAAAGCTATTCAGCGGGTTTAGGGTTTCAGGGTCCGTGGTTTAGGAGCTTAACGCTTCGGCTGTGTTGATGAAAAAACAATCAGGGGTTGAGGGCTTGCGAGGATTTGTGTATGTGTGTGAGGGGAGTGGCTGCCCGCCTCGTGCCTTCCATACCTTTTTAGCGTCGCTAAAACATCCTAAGTTCTTGTCCGGGGTGTTCAAGTTGACTTCAATGCGGACATGCATTCTAGCTCCGCCTGGCTGGATTTCGCCTCGAAGCAGCACGACACACAAGGCTAACAGCTATATCGACATGCCGCACAGTCGCGCGGCATCCAGGCCCTTGTTCGCATGTCTGGATGCCAGCTCTAAACCCTGAACCCTACACCCTAAAGCCTAAGCCCTAAGCCCTAAACCCTAAGCCCTAAACCCTGAACCCTAAGCCCTAAATTAAACAGCACCTCATGACCTGGCGAAGTCCCAGATTGCTGAGGCTGCAGCAGAAACTCCGCCCTGGCGCCTGAAGTACAAGGAAGACACTAAAGCCTAGACAACCATATAACATAGTATTTGTTTTATTATATTATACCATACTATACTATCCTGTATTATATTATATCGTATTATACTAGTTACACTCTCAACCATGGCTCGCTGTTGTCCAGCGCCATGCTGGGTCTCCAGCACTGGAGTCATCACAATGGCTCTGCCAATCGCGTTCAGGCAGTGGCCAGCCTGCTGCAGGCGACCCCGCAGGGAGGTGGAAGGGTCTCAGTACACGCGAGGAGCCTCTGTCAACAGATGTCCAGCATCATCCCTGGAGCCATGAAAGCTTAGGGTTTGGGGCTTAGGGTTTAGGGTTTAGGGCGGTAGCACCGGTAGTGTCACTAGGTCACTAGGCTCATCATCGCACCGGCCGGGGCCCCAGCGGAGACGAAGCGCCAGCAGCCCTCTCGGCTGCCGGCAAGCAAGCCTCATCAGCCTCTCCCCATGGCCTGCTGGCATCTCATACGTATATAAACGAAAGAATCCGAAAGAAATCAACCACACTCTCAATTGACGTCGAGGCAGGAAGATGGCCTCAAAGCCAGCTTCTTGTCCTTGTCCTCACCCGCCATTTGGCCGTGAAAGGTAAAAGGCGCGTCCTGGCGCAGAAAAGACCCCGCAGCAATCCAGGTTCTTCTTCCGCCTTCCTCAGGGCGAAAACCTGATTCCTCAAAGCCTGGCCGAGGCCCTAGGAACATCAGGAGCCGCCAACTTGACAGATGAACTTCATACCCAAAATTCCCCCCCCCCCCTGTCTCAACAAACTCCCCTTCCCTATGATGCCCCGCCTCGCTTACTGTCCTACATCTGACTCCTACATTGTACATGCAATACTTGGATTCAGATACCCGTACGTTCCCCTGTGACCTGGTCAACGAAGATGCGCTTCATGAGCGAAGAGCCTGCCAAGATAAGAAGTGGGGCCGGATCTAGCTGGGCATTCGGATCTATGGTCTCTTTCCACCACTGCCCACGTATCTGCCTGCCTTGGCTTGCGCAACCTTGGAAAGGTTGCAGGGCAAGCGGAAGCAGCGAAGCGGTCGATCTCTTACTCTTTTCACAGGGCTATGCTCTTTGCAGCAAAGCTGCGCCCGAGGCGTGTTAGGATGGCTTTCATCTCCATTGGGTCAATAGCCTCGTCCTTCACAGCCTGCCGAGGAATGTTGGCGTTTCAACTGGCACTGTCCAACTCCGTGCATGCACAAGTCTTCCAGGGTATATGACGGCCTGCTTCAAGGAGTAGGAGCTTTCCAGACAAGCATTCACAGTGCTGATGGCATCACCTCCGGAGAACCAGCCAGAGCAAGACTGCATGAAGTTGCGACTCAGCTTTGCAACAATGCGGCCTCTCTCTGGCTCGCTTGCCAGGGAATAGCTATCACCTTCTATCCGAGGAAGTGTCTCGTTCTGGTTGGCCTGCATATAAGACGTACAGGAAGTCTCGCATGTCTGCTGTGTTGAACACCCACTGCACTACCCACAGGATGCACGGGCAGACAGTTTGAGAGCACGGAGTGCGTGAGGTGCCTGGCTCCTGGCACCAGCCTCCTGGCATCCAGAATCTGGGTCGGCTATGTGTGCATGTGTAGGGGTGTGTGTGTGTGTGTATGTGTATATAAATATATATATATATATGTGTGTGTGTGTGTATGTATGTGTATGCATGTGTATGATTGTGTATGTATGTGTATGTATGTGTATGTATGCGTAGTGTACGTGTAATTTAAGTGTATGTGTGCGTAATGTATGTGTAATCTATCTACGTACGTACGCACGTACCCACTCATGTATGTCTGTATGTGTATGCGTATGTGTGTGTGTGTGCATGTATGTGTGTATACTTGTGTATACTTTTGTACGTATGCATGGATGGATGAAGGATGGATGGACATGGGTGACAAATGGATGGACATGGACGACTATGGATGGAGATGGATGGAGATGGATGGAGATGGATGGAGATGGATGGAGATGGATAGAGATGGATGGAGATGGACGGATGGATGGATGGATGGATGGATGGATGGATGGGTGGGTCGGTGGGTGGGTCGGTGGGTGGGTGGGTGGATGGGTGGGTGGATGGATGGATAAATGGATGCATGGATGGATGTGGATGTGTGCATGTGTGCAGGTGTGCAGGTGTGCATTTGTGTAGGTGTGTATGTGTGTACAGGTGTGTGTGTGTGCACATACATACATACATACATACATACATACATACATACTTCACTTTACTTTACTTTGCTTTACTTTACTTTACTTTACATTACATAGCATAACATTACATTACACTACATTACACTACATTACATTACATTACGTTACATTACATTACATTACATTACACAACATTACATAACGTTACATAACATTACATAACATCACATAACAATACATGAAATTTCACATGGCATAACATAACATGACATAACATAACATGAACATGAACATGAACATGAACATGAACATGAACATGATCATAACATCATATGAAAATAACACACCATAACATACTACAGATAAGGTAGACAGCATGTGCATGTATTTACATATGTAGAACTATACGGCTAGATTCAGACAGTGCAGGTGTCTTTTGCTCGGATCGCCCACCTCTGACACGGACTCCTCTTGAGGCTCCGAGATCTTCTTCTCGAGCCTTAGTCTGTGGCCTTTAGGGCTAAGGGGTGTTAGGGTTTAGGGTTTAGGGGTTTAGGGTTTAGGGCTTTAGGGTTGAGGGTTTAGGGTTTAGGGTTTAGGGGTTGCCTAGCGGATTGTGTTTTTGTGGTTTAGGGACTTAGGGGCTTCGGGATATAGGGGCTCTAGGATCTGCTGACGAGTCGAATGCAGAGGTTTTCCACTGTGCATTGGACGAAAACCGGCTCTGTATCCCTAAGCCTGTAGTAGCTCGCACTGCTAGAGGTCAATGCAGCCAGCTTGTGCTGCTGCTTGGTTGTGATGCGAAATCAAAACTGGTAGACGATGCTGGCGACGACAGTTGTTGGGACGGAAGACTGGGGCTTGCGCTCCCAGAGTCGGTCCAGAGAAGCCTCGACCCGAGCACTGCAGGGATCTAAGTTACTTAGAAGATGCCGTGCAAGAACTCTCTTTTGAAGAAGATGGGCATGAAAGCTGTCGTCGGTTCTGTTCTTGGCTCACGACGAAGCCAGACGGGTGAAGGCAGGCCTCAGGCAGTCGGTACTGTGCTCTCCCTCTTTCTTACAATCTGGCAGCCCGGCCCCCATCCGAGCTAACACTTAACATAGGTCAAGCGAAGATCACAACCTACGACCTGCGGGATTACTGACGGCTGCCTACTGTTGTGGCCAACTGTCAGCTCTTCATGCAGTCTGCAGGGACATGGCTTAGGCTTCTACCACAATTTGATAATATATAATATAATCCAATATATAATAGAATATATAACATAATAAATAACATAATATGAAATATACTATATAATATGATATATAATATTATGATCATTCAAGACAACGGATCGCACCCACTGCTTGAGCTCTGGGAGAGCTGGAGCCAATCGGCTTTGTACTGTCGCTGTCAGGGCTGCCTACAGCAAAACGCAGCCCCCGGACACCAAGCCCGCGACGCCCTTACATCCCAACGTCATGGCACGAGGAGGAGATCTGGAAAGCTTCGAGAAATCTATGTGTGGTTGCCGATCTGTCGCCTTTCAATCATGAGAAAAAGTCTTGGCCAGCTGAGCAACATCACATGAAGCGCTGCACGCTTGTCAATGAATGCCCGGCATGCTGACCTCGTGTTGCTTGATACTTGCGAAAGCAGGTCAGAAGCATTGGGGAAGTGCAGAGGGCTGTGTGAATGTGCCCAGCTAGCTGAATGAAAACCAACGCCAATCCGAGCGATGCGATGCTCGCGCGCTCTCTCTGCCGTCCTTTCCCCGCAAGGCACATCATCTTGTCTTGACGCGAACACCTTACTCACCGGGCTCACTGCCCGGAAGCCCACCCCATTACAATCTTGAAGTCAGCTACTTGCAATCAAACCGAATCAGCCGCCCGATCGGCTCTGAGCGACTTTCGCGCTCCCGCCTCAGATGCTGTCAGGGAGGATCCGCGCACGAATTACCTCTGAGAAGCATCAGGGAATCATAATCACCCTCGCGACAGCAGATGCCTGAGAAACGCCGCAGGCGACGACGAGGTCGACCACCCTGAGGAAGCAAATCGCTGACTCTGAGTGAGGGGTGCTGACACTCATTTCAGGACTGTGGCAACTCACACTCCGTGTCCCCATGGTTTGCCCAGGAACAACAGGAACAGCAACGGAGCCTCGGCTGCCCCGCAGCCAAGGAAGGACTGGCCTCATCGGGAAGGAAGTGCCATCATGACATCCCCAGGAGCGGAACAAGCAACGGAGCTCCCGAAGAGGAAAGCAGACAGACAAGGACCTCGACTCCTCCTCGTGTCGAGTCTCTGTTGCTAGGGCAACGACGGAACACCTGTGCACACCGGGTGGTTAATAGGACTCCTGGGCTGTCCCAAAGTGCGAACCATTTTTAGCTGGCATCTCTGCGCTTCCAGCACCCGTTTCAGCTTCCGCCGCAACACTTCGCAAAACTCGCATCGCTCGATGTGCGCATGCAGCACGAAGAGGTCAGAAGCAACAAGCTGCACGAACAAACACTGCTTTTGAGGTGGGTCAGCAGTGCAGACTGAACCAAACCACGTTTCCACGAATATCTCAAAGCCCGCATCGTTGAACACACACTATGTAAACTAAACCCTAAATCCTAACCCTTAAACCCTAAAGCCTAAACTTTCCTAACCCCTAAACCCTAAACCCTAGACTTCCCTAAACCCTAAACTCTGCCTCCAAACCCACTAAAGTAGGCTCCCTGCACCCAGGAGGCCGCCCCAAGCCGCTCCTTCGCTCGAAGCTTTCGGAGTCTTGGAATTAAAGGGTTTAGGGTTTAGGGGTTGAGGGGTTTAGGGTTTAGGGTTGAGGGGTTTAGGGTTTAGAGTTGAGGGGTTGAGGGTTGAGGGTTTAGGGTTTAGGGTTTAGGGGTTAGGGGTTTAGGGTTTAGGGCTTAAAGGGTTTAGGGTTGTTTCAGTCTTTGGAGTTCCGGGGGCTTGGGCTTTCTGGGGTGTGCCGAGCATTGCCGCAAAGCTTGGCACCGGCTCAAGTGCTGGTCGCTCCTCGCACCTCGCTCGCCCTCGCACCTGCAGACTCAGGGCTTTAGGGCTGCGGGACTTAAGGGCCATTCCAGGCTTCGGGACGGCCGCAATGCGCGAAGCGCCTCTGGCAGTACCAGTCTCCAGGTGGAACAGCAGGGATTCCAATGCAAAAAGTGTGGTACCTGCCGGGCAAGTAAAGGGCCGCTTCACAACTGCACTCGACGTGTTCGCTGGAATATGCTCAGACAGACGGGTACCCCGCATCGCATCCATCGCACAGTAAGAGAAGGTGAGGTTCGTGACTTCCGCCGCACACCTTTCTGCATAGGATGGGCTGAATCCATTTGCCTCCCGTAAAGTCTGTCTTTCGCCAGGGATGGGGGCTGGGGAAAGTCTCTCTCTTGCTTGCTTGCTTGCGGGGCATTTGGGGACAGGGAAGCACGCTCCCTACCCGCTGCACCTGAGCGCTACGCCTCAGTCCGTGTCTGGTTTGTTGGTTCGAGACATGACTGTGATCCCCGACTCCCTTCGCAGCACCCAAGTCACAGGTTTAGCCCCGCGTGAACATCCCCTTGCTGCTTCGCGGAGTCGGTTCTCACAAGCTTTCGGTGTTTAGCAGCCCCGACATTGGGGGCGCTTGTGCGGGCGCTGTGTTGGGAGGCTCCAAAGACAGCGCTAAACATACATACTAGTAAGGCTGAGAAAACCTAACGGCTGAGCCCCAGACACTTTGCCAGCATTGAGCTCTGCGAGGCAAGAAGAGAAAGGATTACCGAATACCATAGGGCCATAGGGGAGAACTCACGTTTGTCCCATGCCCCCCGTGTAGTGTTCCTATGCATCTGGTAGACAAGTGGAACAAGCAGCCCTGGCTCGGTGGTGGCTGCTGGCAGTGAAGTTGGGGGTCTCCGGTGCGCTGCTGCTGGCGCACAGAGGGTTCGACCGTCCGTCCACTCGACAAGGTGCTCTCTACGAGACGGGCAGTCTCTAGCATGGCCTGCTGCGTTTCGTTGCCAAGCGGTCCGTAGGGCGCAGCTGCGTCCCCGCGGTTGGGTGAGGTGGGTCGTGACTGCTTCCTGCTCGCGGCACCAGGCCTGGCTGCTGGTTCACTGCTGGTCCTGCTTCTTGTGGAGAGTTGTGGTAGTGGTGGTGTGAGGAGGTTTCCTCTCTTCTTCGCCAGGGCATGGGAGGCGGTTTAGGCCCCCCGGCCACTAGGGCCCCCCATGTGTTATGGGGCTTTGAGGAGCCGGGACATATCATTGAAGAATAGGGTACGAATAAGCATGAATATGATAAGTAGTTTTTCCCCGGGTTACACGTGTTTGCAGTACAGCTTTGGGAAACCTCTCTCTCTCTCTCTCAAGCCGTTGTCCGATCTCCGACATGAAAGTGCGGCAGCCCTTGTGCAAGCGCACCCTGCCTGGCAGTTGCAGTCCTGCATCTCAGGCCCATCCACCGCCTTGCAGAAGACATGCTATGCTTGCTGATTCGTCCATCACCGACTGCAGGCCAAAAGAAGGTAGCAACTTTTCGGATCTCGGGCCGAAGCCAATGACACCTACCCTGTCCTATCTCTGAGCAGCTTCTCGATAGCGTCAGAGACCTCGGAGCTGATATTGTTATACCTCGGAGGCGGGAATCAAGAAACAGCACTTCCGACCAGGGAGATTCTCGTCACGCCCATGCTTTTGCCACGGTGCAGAAGGTCCAGGACCTCAGTGTCACCAAACAAGGAAGCTGAACAGATGGCTCCGTGTTTGCTGACGAGTACGAGTCCACCAGGCCCCGGCCACGAGCTCAGCATTCTCCGTAGCTGCCTGCAGCAGATGGGAGCCACCCTCATCTCCTTCGGAGTGCAGGCAGAGTTTCTTGGTCTCCAGGGATGACTCACGAATATCTGAGCCCAGGAGCCTATCGCATTCCCAGCCAAGGCCAAAGAGCACAGTGGTGACGAGCGTGTGGCAGACGCCAGGGAAGCGGCGGCCTGTGGCGGATGGTCTTAGATGCTGGGGCTGCGAAAGGGCTTTTCAACCGGAGGCGGCTGCCGGGGGGCATTGCAATCCCACATCTCCACACAACGGACTCATAATGACTCACAGCCAGCTTCAACAGCTACTGAGCATCACGCGAGGGCTACTCACACTGTCAGACTCTGTCTCCATTTGCCCGCGATGCAGGGAGTCGCCTCGTCAGAGATGGAGTTGTGAGCCAGCGCGAGACTCTTGAAGCTGCCGTGCTTCCTGACAGCTGCACGCATCTGCTAAGATCTGTGAATCTATGAAGGCTTAAGGTTTAGGGTTTAGGGCTTAGGGAAGCTCTGATCTGTGAATCTAAGAAGCTCTGTGTGCCGCAGAGGCAATGCAGTGACTACAGCCGAAGGCCGCTGACTAACCGAGAAGCTCGATGGCAGCGGCAATGTTAGCGGCGCCCACATCACCAATGCCTGGACATGTAGTGCCCTCAAAGCGTTCCACTGTGTCTTTCCTCAACCTCCACATACCGCGACTTACAAACAACAATACCTAGGACTTCACCTTAGTTCAAGAGTCTAAATGCTCCAGCAAAACTCAGCACTACCCGAAGCGACGCACCAGGACAGTGAGCCCACACTCGAGCATCCGGAGATGATTCACATCATGGCACTCTACCATCTCCGGACAGATTTGGAGAACCCACGCTGACATCACGCAGACGCATGTAGGATGTGATTGTTGATTGCCGACGGGTGGCTGTTGCCCGTGAGGTCCAGGCAGGTCAGTCGCCCGTTCTTCACCAGCATGTCCTTGCGCGGTTACACAAACTTTAATCGCGGTTCGAAATAGAAATAACTAGCTTGTGCCCCAGCTCTCAACCGGTTCACCTCCAACGAATATCGTTCCCTGCCGAAGTGAGTTCTCATCTGCCCAAGGCGCGGCTACAGAGGCGGCACCCTGTTCGCCGAGCTCATTCCTGATTGAAAAGACTTCTTGAAAAGATTTGACTTCATGCAGGCGACGTACCAAGCTTTTTCCGATTTCCCTCTATAATCGCACGGTGAGCTTCTGCTGCAACGTCACGATGCGCAACGCCGTATTCTCCGAGATTGCGGCGCAAAGACACACGGCGCCGTCTGCATCTATGCGATTACTGCCCAGATTGAGGCTGGTCACGGTACCATTTTCCTTGCTGCAGGCAGCATGCGTTAAGGCATGACAACTGCCGAAGGCCATGCAGTCCATGCCACATGTCGCCAAGCCTCTGCCAAAGCAGAGCACATGAGCTCAATCCCCTGCGAGCCAATTTCATTCATAGCCAGGTCCAAGAATGCCACGCTACCTTTTGCAGCATCTTGTGGGATGAACATTGATGTCACAGATGCCTGCACCACTTACCATGCCCTTTCAAAGGAGGGCTGTGTTGCACAGGCATGGTCACAGGCCTGAATCTTTGATGCTCAGTAGGATCTGCTGCGAACCAGATCCTGCAGCATGGCAGCATGCCAACGTTACATCACTTGATAGCGGTCTAGGGTATAGGGTGTAGAGACTTCTCCCGCACACCCCCCCCCCCCCCCCACACCCCCGCTTCCGATGCTATGCTAGGAGACTTCTCAGGCTAAGAAGTGTGCAACACAAGGCTTGGGGGCTTAAGACAAGCCTTGCAGAGGTTTAGGGTGTACAAACCCCGAGACCCTAAACCCTTAAGGGTGAAGAGACCCAGTGCATCCAGGGCTCCACAGATCCTGTTGCCGCTCAAGCTCAAGCTTGTCAACGAGGACCTGCCAAAGGTCGCAGTAGCCTCTCAGCCAGAAACCCCGAAAGTCCGGAAGCCATGAAACCCTGAACCAGAGATCCCCGAAGACCCCACAAACTCCTAGAAGCCGGACCCCCAAAGCCCTAAACTCTGAAACCCCACAAACCCCTCAAAAAACCCCCCAAAGCCCGGGTTTCAGCTGTCCGAGGCCCCTGCGCTGGCAAGCCGGGCGCGAGGAGCTCTGCGCCGTGAATTCCGAGCCTTCGCCAGCAAGCAAGAGGGTTTAGGGTTTAGGGTTTAAGGTTTCGGGTTTAGGGTTTAGGGTAGGTTTTTGGTTTGTCTGAAGGGACCCAAAGATGCCGAGGCGCTGGTTGTGGCCCAGGTCGAGATGCTGCAGCACACCTCAGCACTCAGGAGCCCTTCCCTGTTCCCCATGCAGGTCCATGTTGCCACCAGGAAACGATTCTTGGGTAAAGAAGTCGCCAGGCACGCCATGCCTTCGGTGTAGATCGAGTTTCCTTGAAGCTCCTTGGATCATGGAAGTTTGGGGTTCCGGGTGTTCGAGCCTTCTAGGGCTTAATCAAGGCGTTAGGCTTGACTACGGCTTTGCATCTAGCGGACAACTCTCGACTGACGATCACATGCACCTGATGCAGGCTTGGCCGTCAACTGCGAGTGACCACTGTGCCTGTCTTCGTCGTCACCAAGGTTCCAGCTGCTCGAGCGTGGAGTTTGTCTGCAACAACTTTGCCAATGCCTCGGCGATGTCATCTCCTCGGTACGCAGCATTGGGTCAGAGACAAGGCATCGTGGGGCATGGTGAGCTCAGCATGACTCTTGTTGTAGCACAGGCTCCGAGGTCGTTATCATTCAGCACCAGTCTTTTGACCAAGTCATTCTCCAACAAATACTCCAACACTTTGGCACCTGGCCGCCGCACATGCATTCCTAGCATAAGCAAACGCAATGGCAAGTTGCCAAACTTGTCCTACAACCGTCAGCGCTAGGAACGACAACAAGCAAGGAAAGTCGAGCAGTTCGAGTGTCATGATGCGCTAGTCCAGAAAGCATCACAAAGCGGAACCTCCGGAATTGTCGAGGGCGTTGTCGCTCAGATCCACTGCAGTGATGTTGTGCGTCTTGTCCTGCACTCTGAACCCTAACCCTCCGCTCCCCGTGGTCTGAAAGTAAGGCTTGCACGCTGCAGACGGGCTGTTCACACTGCGCAACTACTGTGAATATCTCCCGCTCGCGACACTTTGGACAAGCACTAGGGCCAGATTCCATGTCATCTTCGAGTCGGACAGTGTCCCAAAACAACGAAACCTTCGACACCCTCAATTTAAACTACACCCATGTTTCTGAGGTGGCCAGGGCTCACTTCCAGGGAAGCTTCGTGGGAGTGCCGAGGCTCGAGTTCGACGATGGCGACGACGACGACGACGACAACGCGCGCAGGCCCTGTGCCTTCAGTGCGAGGGCTAAGTTCTCCAGGTCCGCGGCCTTCCGGGCACTCTGTTTGCTAGTGCAGCTATTTGATTCATGTATGGAGCAGCTTGGCACGCCCACCGTCAGCCCGCAGCTGCGCAGATTCAGCTCTGCCATGGCGCTGGTGCTCAGAAGTAGTCTTGACACACGATATGTCTTCTTTCACTGAACAGAGGCTCCGTGCTGGTAGCAAGATTCGCAGGGTCCGTGTCTTATGGCGTCTTATGTTTACTTGTACTATCTTGTAAGCAGCTGCACAGCCAGAGTTGCAAACAAACGACGAACTGGTAGCTTGCACACACAACTGACGGTACATCGATAAAGCAAGGCCAGCCAGGCCTCATCGTTGAGTTCCTGCAAGATGCTTTCGGTTGAGGACATGCGCATGCTTATTCCACCTATGTTCGCCCAAAGCTTGCCGTAGTCTGCCGACAAGTTGGTCCAGCTGCCGTGCCGGAACTAGTCGTCGTTTCGCTGGTGCAGCACCTGTCTGCCGACGAATGCAAATTGCAAGACACGGGCTGAAACGGAGCCTGGCCTCCTGTCTCGCTGTGCGGCTGTGGGAGGGGCAGCAGAGCGCCCATCTCCTGCAGCAGCTATAAGCACGAACACCTGGAGCCTGAGAACTGACTCCTGACATCCATTTTGGCGAAAAGCCTACTGCACGAACGAAGAAAGCCAGCACCCCAGATTCCTGCTTGCACAATGGGCATGAAGAGCAGCTGGCGGCCCATTTCTCGATGCACTGGGTGCAGAATCGGTGGCCACAGCTTGCAACCTTCGCGAGTCTTTGCCACTTGCCGGCGCTGAGAACGAAGCCGAAGAACCACCCACATCAAGAGCTAGAAACCCTGCTCGATCTCTGCACGTCACTATCCCTCAAGCTTCCCATTTTTCACTTCAACTCCTGGAATTGTGCCTGCGAAGCAGCGGCAAGCTTGATGTGCTCCTGACACCAAACCCAAAGCCAGAAAGCCGTTCTGCTCAATCTTTACACCAGTAAACCAGTAAAGATGTGGATACGCCCAAATAAAGATGTGGATACGCCCAAAAATGCCGTCCTCCTGGCAAATCGGGCAGGCTAGCCGCGCTGGCGACTGCATCGGGCCACTTGTCCGTGTGGATTCTTTGTCCACAGGTGCGGAATGCTGCTGCCAGCAGTGTCAAGAACAGTTCATGTCAATCTGTTCGACAGAAATTTGATCATGCAGTCATCTACGCCTCTCCCCGCTTCATTCCTTTAGCTTAGTTTTGTCTGCCTTGTCCCACTTTACATCGTGTAAACCCATGTTCCATCCCCGACAGCATCATGCAACCCCATCTGCGGCATTCCGGCTGTGGGCCAAGCAATCGTGGCTTCAGCTGCTCTCTAAGCGATGCTACCCCCTCTCCCGCTCCCTGCATCCCTCTCATTTCTTTTTCGTGCGCACTTTTCACTCGACTGAAGTCCTTGACACAGCCTGGCGGGCAGTAGCTTCCCCTCGCACCCTCGTGCCCCCTCGCGCCTGGCCTTGCCCTGGGCATCTTCGGCAGCTCGCCGCTCGCGAACGAGACGCACCAGTGTCTTGAAGTGCTCCTGCTCCGGGCCCGACTAGAGGAAGCACGCCGCATGGCTGCGTATTCCCACATTTCCCGAGGCCATGTCTTGCCGCGCCTTGTTTCCAAAGATGTCTTCCTGCGAGGCATCCAATCACTCTCAGTCTCTGAACCCTAAAGGGTCCAAGACCGTCCTAAACCCTAAACCCTAAAACCCTAACCCCTAAACCCTAACCCCTGAACCCTAGACCCCTAAACCCTAACCCCTGA